AGTCTTCAGAAAATCTGTTATGTTCCCTGGCCTTCTAACCTGATCACCATGCCATACCAGGAAAGGACAAATCCAACCAATCGAGAAATTTATATCAAGTGTCTACTTGTATGCCCAGTGTCGTACTATATATAACAGGTGACATATACAGAAATACGGTAGTTGATCTTTTCCCTTAAGATACTAATGATCTTCCTGTGAGGATAAAGCCAACGCACAGGAAGCAAGTAGAGAATCACATGGTAATGGCTGCCAAAGCTCAGAGAAGTTACTATTTATTCAGCACCTATTATATTTCAGGTCCTCTTTTAAATGTCTAAAAACGGTGCTTCCTTTAGTTGTTTAGCAGTGATGAGGTGCTATTATTATGTCCATTTTACAAATGGAACCTCAGAGAGGCTAAGTAACTTGTGTCCAAGGTCACACAGCCAGTAAGTAGCAGAGTAGAAATCTAGGTTCCTGCTCCTTATGACTGCAAAGCTTTCACTCTGTCACCTCTCTGATTCAAGAAATAGAGCCAAGTGGGCTGAAATAGCAGGGAGGCCTCATGGAGCAGGTGGGAACTGACCTAAGTTTCAAAGGGAGGGTATGAGATAGAAAACCCAGGGAAGTGAGAGAAGGAGGGTATTCTAAACAGAAGGAGGAGTCTGAGTCAAGCACAGAGGCATGACTGTGAAGTCTGCTTGCTGGTGGACCTGCTGGACAGGAGCAGAGGTTTCATAGTTGGGCAGAGGAGATTAAGTCAGGAAGGCAGGGTGGGGCCAAGTGACACCACACAGTGGCAACTCCCAAAAGCAGCTTCCTCCACTAGGAGGAAGAGGCTGCTGTGTAGCCTATCTGTGCCCTTCCTAACACTCCACCCCCAAACTCAGGTAATCCACTCCAGAGAGCCACACAACCTTGGGCTTTCTGCTCCCATTCTAATCATCCTTCCCTATCTTAAGTGTTGCCTCCAAAGCCACTGTCCCCTGACACTGGGAAGCTAGTTTCTCTTCTCTAGACTGTATCTGCTCTCATAGCTATGAAACAGCTTTTTTGCGTGTAACATCCCTTTTGTAAACCTCTTCTTCCCTTTTAGTTTTAACCTTTTCCAAAGCAGGAACTAAATCTTGTTTCTAATTATTAGTCCTTAATTGCCTCCCTTCCACTGGATTCCACAATCATATAGGTGATGATGCCATAGGTATGCTTACTTACATATACGTTCTGAATTTGTGATAACAGGGTCACAGCCTTCATGACTAATATTTCTGGAGGCCTTCAATTGGAGACTCCTAAGTATTCATATCAGTGTGGCATTTGAGGAGAATGTACCTGCATTTCCTAGGAAATCCCTTACCTGGCTCACCGAGGATGGTCAACACTGAGTAACTCAATTTGAACCCCTTTCCCAAGAAAACTCACCCTATCTACTGGAAATAGTTCAGCGCTGTGGCCACAGCTTGGTGAACTCTCCTAGTAAGGAAACCTCAAGGAGGCAATGAAAAGCAGTTCTGGCTACAATGGAAAATAAGGCAAGTTCCTGCCAAGTGACTACTTTGCAAACAGTAAAAACGGAACTTGTGAACTCATGACCGGGGGCTATCGGTGCATCTCGAGAAGGTCTCACAGAACCCAAAATGGAAGGGCCAACATTAGTCTCTGGGGAGAAAAGCGTCCCTTTAAGAAGCGACTGCACCAGCTGGCTGCACTACAGCTCCCAGAGATTTCCTGGCCTGCATCCTGGCCCCGCCCCCAAGTCTCCGGCCTCAGCAACGCGTGACGTCATACGAGATTGAGGCTGCGGATTGGCTGAACGACGCAGCTAGGTCAAGTCCAGTCGGAGGAAAGAAGTTTGTCTCCATGTGGAAACCATGTGTCTCGAGCTGGGAGGGGGAGGAGGAGGAGGAGGAGGAGGAGGCGGAGAAACTGAGATCAAGTGATTACAGGGGAACTCGCTGAAATGAAGGCGGAGAGGTTGTGCACCTGAGCCGGCCAGCAATGCCCTTTGCAGTAGTGACCTATAAAGAAGATGCACAACAAACAAAACCTGAACACCCCCCACACCATCTTACTAACTAAGAGCTAAGGGTCCTTGCTTCCTTCCAAAAACTAGGGACCTGGGAATTGCTGGAATCCTATCGGAACGCCTAGATCCCTCTCCCTCCCCCAACAACTGAATGATGTAAGCGTTTCGGAAAGCAGAGCTCTGGAGCAAAACAAGCCCCGCGCGCGCGGAGCGACCCGCAGTGCCCGAGCCCGGCGCACGCACGACCCGCCCCCCGACTCGCGTTATTGCTGTGCACACGCGGACCGCCGTGACGCGCGGGCATTGTGTGCAGCCAGCAGAAAACAACGGCGAGCGCCGCCAGCGCGAAGAAGCGCCCCCAATAAAACGAGATAGATGTAGGGCCCGCCGTTTTCCGTACCGGGAGACCAAGACCTGGGGGCGGGGGGAGAGTGGGGAGGGAGGATAAGTGGCCCCCGTGGGCAGCTCCAGTTTGCCGCGGGGATAATAGAGGGTCCTGCGGGTGGTCGCCTGGAGTTTGCTGGACATCACCCCCGCCCCCCGTCTCCGAGCTGCTAGGGAGCGGGTGAGGGCCTGGAGCCGGGCCCCTGCAGCGGAGCCCAACACGGTGCAGCGCCCCACGCTCTCGGGGAAATCTGGGGTCCGTTGGCATCACGTCATTTACAGCCAAACAGCGGTGGCGAAAAGAGCCGAGAGAGCTAAAAATACTCCCTTGGGGAGCCTGCAGAAGGAGGGGGGCTGCGAGGCCGAGGGGCTGATTACGTACACGAAGTTGACTTTGACTGGGGCGCTAAGGCTCCCGAGCCCCTCTGGGGGGCTGGCAGGTTTGCAGCGCTGGTGCTTCGGGAGAGGGGCCAGGAGAAAGCCCCTTGGCTTCACCGGCCTCTAGAGCCCCGCTCGACCGCCGCGGGCCCTCCCCACACGGGGCAGCCCGGCCCGGCGCGCCCGGCTTTCTGCTTACGTGACTGGTGGCCACGCCGGAGCCCCGGCACCGGGTAAACAAGGAGGTGGCGGCGGCGAGGGCGGCGGGGGGGTGGGGTGGGGCGGAGGGAGGTCTCCGATTGTCTGCGGGTGCGAAAGGGGGGGGGGGCGCGGGACGCTGAGGAAGCTCTGGCCGCCTCCTCAATACGCCTCGCTGGGGTATGTTGGGGGGCAAGCCATGTTCGCTACACACTGCCAAGGTGCCCTCTTTGGGTGCACTCCCAGTTAGGGCCGGCGCCACGGGACAGACTCCAGAGACCGGGAACCCGGGAGGGGACGGCTAAAGAAATCGCGCCCCTCCCCCTGCAACAAAAGCAAACACACCAAACAAAACCACGTCTTCACCCAGCTCCCCATCAGCTCTCGCTTTTCAGAAACTATCCTCCAGATGAATGCACACCACCCCCCCCCCCGACACACATACACACACATACACACACACACACACCCTTAATAATCTCCCAGCGACTCGGTTACACAGCCTGCGATGCACCTCTCTCGCAACCCAAGCATTCCGAGAAAACAGGCGAGAAGAGAAAGAAAAGAATGCACCACCGACCTCCCAACACAAAAATCCTTGTTTTGGTCTTACAACGTCTGCACAATTGCACTGCCATCACACCGTTACTATACCCCTGAAGGCCTGGAGTGTCGGTCAGCGATGATGTTTTTGTATTTGAGGGTTGTTGTTGTGTTGGGCTGGGGGGGGGGGGGGGTGCAAGATCTGACACGTTGCAATCGGATTTCTCTCTCTGGCTTGCTCTCTTGCTCGCTCTCTCATGTCTCATTGATCATCCTACTTGTTCGGACAGATTAAACATCCCAGTTTCCTTCGGTCTGTCGTTCTGTCTGTCTTGGCCCCTTCTTCCTTTTCCTAGCTATTATTCTGAGGACGGTGTTGGAGACGCCGCACACGCGTGCCCCCGTAAGGGCTGTGAGTCTACTGCCTGGGGAGAGCTGGGGACCCGCTGGCAGTGACAAAAATGAAACAAACAAATACAAAAAGGAAGCCAGGCCTGGGTGGAGTTCTCAGCACCCCCCCGCAACACACCGCAACACTCTCCACCTGAATCTGGGGGTCGGGGGACAGTAGAAATCGACCCTGGAAGGGGTTTGCCTTGCTCGCTCTGCGCGCTCACTCGGGAGTTCTCTCCCGAAAAATAAAGAAATCGCACACAACAGCCCACACCTTCTTCCCCAACTATTGTTTCTGTGAGATTTCAAAGTTTCCTCCTAGCCACGTCTCCCTCGCCAAGTTTCCCCAGCGCAGGACAGCGGGTCCGCGGCGAGCTGCTGGTGCTGTCTGGCCCCGCCGGCCTGTTTCTTTGGGGGCTGGGGGCAGTGGCACCCCAGGGCAACGGAGGCGCGGGGGGGGGGGCTGTGTCCGTGGACCTGACGGCCTGAGCTCAGTCCTCCTGCGAGTGGGGAGGAAAACCCGAAGTAGACAGAAGGGAGAGCCAGAGCCCGAGCCCACGCCGTGGGTAGCTGCCTGGTGGCAGTGGTGGTGTGGTAGTGGTTGTTATTGTTTTAGCGTGTCTGTGCGTTTTCTTTCTGGAACCCCTGAGCTTGCTACGATTTCCAACTTTCGGCTTCTAATCCCCACCCAACCCAGGAACGAGCAACAGAAAAACAACACTTGTCTGCCCAAGAAGGCTCCGAGGAGGTGGGGGGGTGGGGGGAAGGCGACCTCAAAGAGATGAGCTCTCGGCTCAGTTGTCAGCAAACAACAACACTCCCCCGCTCCGCTACGGGGCTGTCCTCGCAGCCTGCCGGAGACGGACAGACCAACGCACGGACAGGCCCCCCTCTCCCCCTCACTAGTCTTTGTTACATCTTTAGCAGCTTTGTGCGTGCGTGCGTGTCCTTTCTCCGGTGTCACCGGCTTTACTGCCGAGGGTTGATGTGTGTGTTGGGGAGGAGGGGCGCGGGCCGAGCAGGCGACAGGGGTCGCCCAAGTGGGCGAGAAAGAAAGAGCAGGGAGCGGAGGAGGAGCCGGGGCCCCCAAACTTACTTTTGTTTTCTTTCTCGATCTGCTCCAGGTAGCTGGCGGCCTCGAGCAGAATCTGCACGTTCTGCAGAAAAGTGTTGATGTGCTTCTCCATCGAGTTCTCGCTGGTGTTGAAAATGTCCGAGAAGGGGCACCTGGGCTTGGCCCCCGCCGGCTCCTCGGGTTGGGCCGGGGGCTGGGGCGCGGCCGCGGCCAGGGGCGCGGCGGGGGCCAGCCCCGCGCCCTCGCAGCGCGCCTCCTTGCGCGGCCGCCCGCGTTTGCCCATGGAGGACCGGGGGTCCGCCGAGCTCGTCCTCTTACGGGTCTTCGCGGCCGGGCCGAGCTCTGGGGCCCCGGGGAGACCCGGCCTGCTGAAGCGGAGGAGGCGCCGGGGCGAGGAGCCGGCCTGACTTCCAGAGCCTCGCTGCGTGCAGTTGTGTGTGTGAGTGTGTGTGAGTGTGTCTCTGTCTCGCGCTGTGGGTCTGTGTGTATGGGAGATTGAATGAACCTACAGGACAGACGGAGGCGCTCTGGTGCCTGGGTCCTAGTGCGAGACTGTCACCATCCGACCGGTCAAAATAAAAGGTGGAGACAAGCGAGGCAGGGACCGCCCCTTGCCTGAATCCGCACCCTTCCCCGCCTCTCCCCAAATCTTAGCGCAAGTAGAGCTCTGTATTTTGATGAGAATGGAAAAAATACCTGATATCTCTAGTGCGCACCTGCCTAAAACATTTTTTTCTTCCCAGAAAAAAATAGTATCTCGGGGCCAGGGTTGTGGTTCAGTGGTTGAGTGCTTGCCTAGCATGCACGAGGCACTGGGTTCGATTCTCAGCACCACATAAATGTAAAATGAAGATATTGTGTCCACCTAAAACTAAAAAATAAATATAAAAAAAAAAATCTCCAAAAGCATCCAGCACAGTGCCTGGCACTCAGTAAGTCCCCCCAAAATGGTAGCTGCTATGAATTTTTAAATATATTTTTGAATTTATTTATTTTATTTTTAATTAATTAACTTATTTATTTTTTAATTTTTTAAAATTATTTTTATTTATTTTTCTTTTTCATTTTGCTGTACTGGGGATCCAGGAACACCCTACTACTGAACTACGTTTTTTTTTTAACTTTATTTATTTTAATCTCTTTTAGTTGTAGTTGGGCACAATACCTTTATTTTATTTATTTATTTATTTTTATGTGATGCTGAGGATCCAACCCAGCACCTTGCACATGCTAGGTGAACATTCTACCGCCGAACTACAGCCCCACCCCACCCCAACTGAGCTACATTTTTATTTTTCATTTTGAGACAGGGTCTTGCTAAATTGCAGAAGCTGGTTCAAACTTGCTTCTGCCTCAGTCTCCCTTGTAGTTGGGATTACATGTTGGCCACAACATTCAGTTTTTTTCTTTACTTCTTTTTCAATAAAGGCCCAATTCAAATGAGAAGAATTGAATTATATAAACTAAAACTCCTTTCCCCATTCTGCTCTCATACACACATGCACAGAGGCACCTGTGTTGTGTCTTCACACAGCTAAATGAAATCCCCAGGCCTCCCAAGTCCAGGTTACAGATTTACTCACTCCTTTGCAACCCTTAAAATGCAAAGTTATTTTGCAGGAAAGAGGAGGAGATGTAAGCATCTCTCCAAGTCCTCTGCCTAGCCTCGGTCCAGCTGTGCAAAGCTCACACCCTAGCACCTCCACACTTGACTCCCTTTTATTTGTCAGAGGGGCACAAAGGCAGAAGTAGCAGCCCAGGAACCACCCCTTACCCCTAGTTGAACTCCATCTTTTGGATCTGAAGACCCCTACCTATCCCAGTTGACGTGGTTTCAATGTTGCCGCTGTCAGCAGTCATGGATGTTTTTCAGGCCTGAGCATGTAGTGGGAGACACAGGAGTAGTAGAGGGTTGCTCTGGTGTGCTGTTGAGAAGACTCCCAGGTCTGCTTCATGCAGACTGTCTGAACTTTAGCAAATTCCTTTACCCCTCTTGGCCTAAGTTTCCACATCTTTGAAACCTCTGAGAATTTGTTTGTGTGGATTAAATCATATCTGCATTTAGCATACTCAGTTCCATAATACCATCTTTTTCAGTCAGAGCCTGAGTCTCTGACTCTGATGTAACTCAAATGCAGTGAACAAGATTCTTCTACCCCTCTGTGGAAAGCATCCCTATGAAAAATCCATCCAAACACTGTCAACTTGCAAGATCATCTGGAATTTTCTTTCAGGGGAACCATACATGGAGCACACAGAGAATGCTGCCACCTGGAAGTGTTCCATACCCTCCCCCCACCCCTTTCAGGGGCAGCTTCATGCACATCTGCCACAAAGCCTCTTACTGGAAATGGAAACTTTTTTAAAAAAAAAAAAAAAAAAAAGGACAGTAAGTACATTTCTTTGTAAAATATAAAACGTACAGAGTATATGTACACACACCCTCAAAGAGCCTGCAAAAAAGCCTTTGTGCACTTCAAAAAAAAAAAAAAAAAACCTACTGCTGATATGACAGGAACAATCAGAAACTTTAAAGCCAATGCATTCACATTTTGAACCATAGTATAATCATTATACACATACTCTTTGCTCATTTTTTCATGACAAATTTTGCATAGTTGATCCCTGCATCTTTTGGTTAGGGTGAAGTAGAAGCATCTAAGTGCTATGAGATAAAAGTTCATATTCCATTATCAGCATAATTACTGGCATTTTTTGTTTTGTTTCTGTCAGAACCACAACTTGAGCTATCTGTGTTTAAATGTCCACAAATGTCTAAGGACTTTAGGAAGACCTTGTACATAAACAATTTCAAACATGCTTCCTCCAATGCCATTTTGCAAACAAAACAAAACACAAAACAAAATTGATGCATCTGAGCAAAACAACTCTGATCTCCCTTGCCCCAAATGAAAGGTGATAGAAAGACAATGAACCAGCCAGCCCAGAGAAAACCTTGATTTCTCTTTAATTCCCTAGTGGTGGTTTGGGTCACGCATACAGTACTGCAACCCACATGTATGGGCACACCCACCGAGCCAGGCACACTCCACACATGAGTGCTGAGGCAGGGGAAGGCTGTTTTGTAATTATTTATTTATCCCTGTTCCATCTCTCATAGGTCTGTGAGCTTCAGAAAGCCCAGTGGGAATCTTCAAGCTGGGCTACAGATCTGACCAAAGCCAAAATAAACAATGGCTTGAAGAAAATCTACAAAAAAGTGCTGATTTGCACTATTCCCACAGTCAGCCATGCCCCCCCCACACACCATTCCCATGGAAAACACCACTGCTGGTGCCAAATCAAGTTGTCCCCCCATCATAGGGGCATTGTTTTTTGTTATTATGTGAGTTCTTAGCATCAGACAATGGCACCACAAGAGACACAGTGGAGGCAGGAGAAATGCCTTTTTGTTTCACAAAGTCTTTGCTATTGTACCCCCAGAGTCTTGCATACAGTTTGCTTGCATATATTCATTTTGGTAACATGTATATGGAACGATGAATGTGCCTAGCTAAAGCCTGAAGCCCCTTCTTTCTTTTTTTTTTTTTCAGAGCCCATCAAGTGTTAAATCATATTAGCATTGCATTGCTCCCTCCTCCTTCCATCCCCCAATTAACAGATTTCTCTAATAAACTTTGGCCCCAGTAGAAAGAGTAGTGTTTCAAGGGTTATACCACGGGACAGGCATCCAGGATGCTGGGTTACAAGCTCAGCTCCATTCCCGATTAGCTTTGCTTCCCAGGAGGAGCCATTCAAACCCTTTGTAACCCCCTTTCTCTGGGGCTTTGATTCCAAAAGTAAACAGGCCTCTTTGGAAACTTGCTGAGAATATCTGCAGAGAACAGGTAGGGGAGGAGAAGGCAGCCACCCCCATAAGAAGGTGTGTGAATTCTGACAGAAAAGCAAAAATGCCCAGTGAGGTGGTTGGCCCAGATTATCTGGTGTGCCTGTTCAGCCTAGGTCTTATTTTCCCAGCCTTCTATTTATTGGCTTGTTTGTTTGGACTATTTGTTTGTTGGGTAACATTTTTCCATTGGCCTTGTTTGCATTTTAAAACAAGATTGTTCTCTCTTTTATTTACCCCTCTTCCCCCCCAGACATTCTATATTCTTACATCAAAGGAATTGTTTTGCCTGTAATTATGTCTTTTATGTACACAGAGGCTGGTTAATTACTGAGAAGGGGGTGGGAGAGTTGCTTGGAGACCTCCCCACCTTGCATTGGGATGGGATGCTCTTCCCTCCATCATGGACCACTTGGGCCATCCTGGACTCTTTAGCTGTGCTCTTCCTCCCTCTTCCATTCTCCCCTCACTAGCTTTTTCTGCCTAAATTCATCACTCCAACCTCTAGCTTTTCCTTGGAGCTTGCCACAATGTCCCAGTCTCTTCCCCACTCTTTGTTCTGTGGTCTTTGTACTCAGACTTGGTAAACAATCTTCATTGTCATTTGAATCCTAATCCCCAGAATTTTCCTGGCCTTCCCCCCCCCCCCTCCAGCACTTTTTCCCTTTGGAAAGGAAACATCCAGCAATGAACTGAGGAACTGGCTCACAGTTCCTTCTCTTCGGAGGCCTTATTTTTGCCTTCATCCGTTAGGAAGTCTCCAAGAAAGGCCCAGGAAGAGGGTAGGCACTATAAGACAAGCAGGATGACAGAACATGGAGGACTCTGAGATTGTTTCTCCTATTGCCTTGAAAGTGCTGGCTGGTCTTCTTCAACCACTCCCCATGTCCCAACCCCCACCCCCACACTCACCAGTGTGTATAGACATGGGCAGAGGATAACTAGGCTCCACCCTAAACTGGAGCTCACTGAGTGTCACCAGCTACTTGGGCTTTATCTCTGCTCTCCTGGATTCTGCCCTCCTTTCTCCTGGACTTCTGAGCCTGGCAGTCCCTTCCTGGCTCAGCTAAGTCTAGGCTTCTCCTATCCAATGTCCAGAACTTACAGGGCTCATTAGACTACAAACACATCAAGGGCAGGTGGCACACCTTGCTCCTCTCTCACACCCCTGCCCCCACCTCCACCATGCATCTCCAGCCCCTGGTGTCTGGCACAGAACATGAGTGGCACAAAACAGGGATCTGGGGTAAAGAAATGAATGTCCTTTTCGCCTGGCCAAAGACTTGGTGCCTGGCCCTTCGTGGCTTTCTTGCTCCACTGCAGCAAGAAGAGGCATTTGACAGTCTGCAAAACTATTCCTGCATTACTCACATTAAAGTTTAAATACCTAAATGCTGTCTCTCTGTAGAAGCCAGAAACCCATTGAGACGGATGATTTGAGGTTTCCCGACCAAAAACTGCAGAGGCTCGCTGTTGCTTCCCCAGACTTACTGTTATTAACAGATCTGGTGACAAGATGGGATTCTTCTGTCATAAGATGCCTCTGATGAAAAATTTTCAAAAATCACCAGGTGATGAAGGCAGTAGCCTGGGACCAAATAGGGAATCTTATGGAGCTCCCCCACACACACACATCTCCATATTCTAGGTTGTC